TTGTTCTAAAGTCGGGTTTTATTCTGGCATGTTGAATTAGTGTTCGACAAACGCGGCGGCGCGTTCACTTGGATTTATTTTTCTCATAACAGCTAAAATAACTTAATAGGCTACTAGTAAACTTTTATTCATATTAGGCTAACAACATTTTAGCTGTCGTCTCTGTCTCCGGGAACTGCTCGTCACAAAACTGAACCGAAAGCCACTTGCCTCAGCTCATGTCTAAAGCCTTTAAATGTCTAAATATTTAATAAATGTTATCTGATTTATGTAAACCATCTGAAACTGAGAGGTACAGAGGATCTACTTAAACATGTTTAACTATGTGAGCGCTTAGAAATGAGGAAAGGACAAGGCAAGGGGAAAATCTCGCTCTAATTAAATAGGCTAAATCGCCCTGAATTAAAATGTAAAAACAAATCAAATAATTTATTTGTCGAATGTTGCGCTATTGTTTCATTTAAGTTCATAATTATTCTATAAATGTTATTTAGTTTAACAGCAGCACAACGAAGCACTGTGGTTCGAGATTTATTTGAATAAAAAAGAAAAACTTATTGAAATTGAATATTATTGAAATTAAATATTTAGTAATAAAGTTTCATGACAGAAATATCACTACATGTAGCTAACATTATTTAATTCCTTCATTATCAACACTTTAATAGCCAAATGCTAATGTCTAATAGCGGTTTCAAGTGTGAATTGCGACTTCTTGTTTTAAGTCAGTCTCAGACTCAGAGAGCCTGTGGGGGTTTGGAGGGACAGTGGCTTTATCGTGCGTGCACAATAGGTGTTAATGTTCCTCTTTCATATGGAGATGTCGGATAGCCAGCCCAATGAGTAGACAAAGGCTAAATTCTTTTAAGGAAAAATCTCTCGATGTGTCCAAATGTAGGCCCTATATCTTATTTAATTATAAATATAGTGTATTTTTTGTATTTAAAGTTTTTCACACAAAATTTAAATTAAAGTGTTCAATCCAGTTGTTTCAACTGTTTTTATAGAGTTTTAGAATGTTTGAAGCAGTGTGTATGATTGTCAACAATCTGGCATTATCTAAATATTAACTGTTGACGAAACGAAGCAGATAAAGAGCTCTTTAATTCAACCTCGTTTTATTGTAAGTGAATTCAACAAGGCATGCTGTGTCTTTGAAGCAACAAAGGCAAAATAATTTGTTACAGGTTTTTTTTTTTTTTGGAGGGAGACAAAATAAACTTTGCTAAAAAGAGATCCAGCGCAAGAAAGAGGCAAAGAAAAACGCATGTTCTTAATTTATGTCGTTTTGTACTGTTTTAATTGTTTAATTAAGCTGCAATTTCTTTGGCAATACAAATTTAAAATGTTGCAAGAATAAGATTCTGTGTTTCTTATTTTGCATCGCAAAGGAAATAAACTCTAAACTCAATGCAACCAGTTAAACAAATAAACTGTCCCACTTTATTTAAACCTTAAAAATGTGCGATGGGGTTTCAAACTTAATTAATTTTAGTGTTCTTTTACATTTTCATTTGTTTTTATATTGAAAGCAATACTATTTAGTTAGTCTGTTATTTTGTGTAGCCAAGTCAACAAAATCAGTCTTTTCTGATTTGTTCAATTTATGGATCTGTTTTGAAAAATTTCTTCCGTTGCTATGGCGGGTATCACTGTCTATCACCTCAATTTCGTGAATGATTCACAAAACAATAATTTAGCAGATTAAAGACAAGCTTCATTATTTTCATTCACTCAAAAAAATGATATGTTGGCTTTACTTAACTTTTTTATGTAAACAGGTTCCACCGGTTCCACATAACTATGTTTCGTTAAACAAACATAATATGTTCATGTAACTTCAACATCATGGAATTTGGTCATTTTAAGCGACCCAATTAAACTCTGAGCTAAAGAGTTAATTAAGTGAATAATTGAGTGATGATTGAGCATTATTGAAGACACCTGATGTTAACAAGCAGAATCTCTGAAGGAGAAAACCGGAATGTTTAAGTCACCATTATGGAGATAAGTGTGTGTTTTAGTTGGGCTCTTGACCATTAACTTATTAACTTTAGATTTTGTTTGGTTGCTGTAAATGAGTTATAACAGCCGGATGAACAATAAACAAAGGTCATCTGATGGTGTTGGTTGTGTTTTAACATAATCATTATTTCGCAATCATTTGACCTTAGTCACTGAACTTATATTAAACCGAATTTCTGAGTTAAGTTAACCTTTCGAATAATAGCAGCACTGTCATTGTAGAGCATACTATTTTTAGACTTTTCAATGAAATTCAAATGATCAAATCAATAAATAAAAAAGGAACTTCCTAAAAAATATTTTGAGTAGGCACACACAGACATCAAGAATCAGCCTGTGAATCTCAACAATGGTGACAATTATAAAGCATGTTGCAGTGCATTCTGGGTGCCACCAATCAAAACTCATTCATGGCTCCCATCATGCATTGCTGCATGAATAAATAATGAGCTTATGATCTGTTTGTCACCATTGCTGAGATTCATATGCTGATTCTTGATGTCTGTGTGTGCCTACTCAACATATTTTTTAAGAAGTTTATTTTTTATTTCCTGATTTGATCATTTGAATTTAATTGAAAAGGCTAAAAATAGTATGCTCTAAAATGACAGTAATGTAAACTTAACTCAGAAATTGGGTTCAATACAAGTTCAGTGATTGAGATCAAATGATTGTGAAATGATGATTATGTTAAATCACAACCATCACCATCAGATCTCCTTAGTTTATTGTTCATCTGGCTGTTATAACTCATGTACAGCAACCAAACAAAATCTGAAGTTAATAAGTTAATGGTCAAGAGCCCAACTAAAACAAATACTTATCTCCATAATGGTGACTTAAAAATTCCGGTTTTCTCCTTCAGAGATTCTGCTTGTTAACATCAGGTGTCTTCAATAATGCTCAATCATCACTCAATTATTCACTTAATTAACTCATTAGCTCAGAGTTTAATTGGGTCGCTTAAAATGACCAAATTCCATGATGTTGAAGTTACATGAACATATTATGTTTGTTTAACGAAACATAGTTATGTGGAACCGGTGGAGCCTGTTTACATAAAAAAGTTAAGTAAAGCCAACATATCATTTTTTTGAGTGTTTTCTGACGCGATCAGCTAATCTTCCCTCATCAGTTTTGTCGTGCAGCGGCTCTACTGGAATGTAGCAAATTTATGTTGTAATGTGCCATTGATAATTTAAACAAAACTCTTGACTTTACATAAGTAAACAGTTAATGAACTCGCTAACAAAACAGTTACCTATTTAAGCATCAAGAACGGTAAAACATAAACGAATTCGGCCAACAGCAAATTGGCTCCACTGAGATTCGATCTCAGATCGTTTGAAGCGTAGTGAGGCTCATGTTATTGCGTTAACCGCTGAGCTATCGTCGGAACGCTGTTAATTATTGTCTTATGCACTTCCAAACCCTCATTGATAGCCTAATATGTTTCGGTTGCAATGTTTTATGTTGAAATGTTTTCACTATTTATTCAATTTAATTTCAGTAGGTCTATTGTGATTATGAATTCGTTTAACTACAAGTTTCACTTGAAATCATCTGTTACCAGCGTTCAATCGCTCTCAATGAGCAGCGGCACTGCGGCAGATTACGCAATAGAGAGAATAAACTGACACTTTTCAAAGTCTGTAATTGTAGCGCCTCTTAGCGGTAAAAGGCAACAAATACACACCAGAATTTTACCGCCGCGGGAGCGGCGGCGGTAAAAGTATTATTCTGGTTGAGTACCCACTGTAGTTCACTATTAACTAATCAATAACTACTATTTTTTAATGCTTCCCAGAGAACTACTGTAAGAATCATGGTAACTAACAGTAATGACTCAAGTGTTACTACATACTTATAAAGGAATTACTAATTATTTTAAGCTTTTGAGGTTTTTGGTGAAGTTTTAAAAAGTAATTCCCATAGAAGTATGTAGTAACACTTCAGTCATTACTAGTTAGTTACCATGATTCTTACAGTAGTTACTAATGAAAAGCCAATCCTAAAGTGTAGAATCTTCTAATCCTTCACAAGATATTTGCACACACATATGAGCTAGGGCTAGGAGACATACATAAAAACTTTTTTTGTGAGGTAGGTTAAATAATATAATCACTGTATATGGTATTTGGATGGCCGATATCTCAATATGTTCCAGTCGTCACCGTAACTCTAGTGATTCAATGCCAGTCCAGAGGAATGCCTTAAAATTATTCAGTTGATAAATAGTTCTCTAGGAGAGAGCATAGGCTAATTTTTCCCCAAATCATAAGTCTGCTATGGTATTACATATTGATAAACCTTGTGTATTCGTTTACAGTAGCAGTTAAAATGTTAATGTAGTGCTAGTCATTTGTCCTGCATTAGTTATTGATTAGTTTTGCATGAATTATGACACTTTTTCAGTAGTTCTCTGGGAAGCATTAAAAAATAGTAGTTATTGATTAGTTAATAGTGAACTACCACTTTCATCTGTGCGCTATTACTTACTAATTCGTTAATCAGAATTTCTTGTTAGTTAATAGTAGTTACTAGATTGTTAATATTGTGTTACTCATTTGTTCCTGTGTAGTTATTCATTAACGAAGGAACCGTATTCTAAAGTGTTACCAATAATTCTTACCAAAAGCTATGATCTTGTATAATTAATATATTTGTTCATAGCTGTAATAAGTTATTTATTATGGTCTTATAAATCTGCATACTGTTGGGTACCACATTTCCAAGTAAATACAATACTTTTTTTGTTTACTTCAGTTTACTTATTGATACTGTTATGTTTCAATAAATAAGCTAAACCCAACTTTTCGATTTAATAATCCGGCCCTCGAATGAAGCTAATTGAATAGCCCTGCCCTACGTCACATTGAACGTGCCAAAAACAGGCTGATATCGTGTAGTCTGAACCTGGCATTAAAGAAACTAAAGAGACATTGAAATATGAGCTTGTTGAAAAATTCTCTCACCAGATATAGGGACGTGAGATGGATATACTGGAACAGATGGAAGATTGGAGTTAATGCCTGTACTGGGACACCCATATGACCTGCCATTCACTGCACACACACACGTACAATGTAAGTGAAAATGAAACCTTTTGTTGTTAGTAATTTCTTTCTGAAACTAAAACACTGACCACTCCATCCAGCACTTCTGTTCGAGTTACCAAGTGGACTGTCCTCCTGGATGTGAAAACAGACTGTTATTGTCATGTCACACACCTCTGGAATCTGCCCAGTAGGAGGCAGAAAAATGTAATCCCGGTTTGCAGTCAGTGCAGTGAGTGAGGGGATTTCTACAGGAGTTTCATTATACCTGCATGGGCAGATGTGTCTCTCTCAAGGCTTTGCTGCAGTCACTGTCATGTGATATCACTGGACTTCCAGCAGGTTCTGGAGGACAGAAGAAGTAGTTTACAGCTAGTTTTGAATATGCATATACTGTATATATATATAAATGAGGAAGTGAGATTTGGGTGTTGGGTGGCTGAGGTTTGAGGAACTCAAGTGCAGATCTTTTATAATACCTATCAGTCTTCCTGTGTCGTCCAGGATCCGGTAGACCTTGTACGGCTCCGAGATGTCCAGCTGACTGCGCTCGGGAACCTCCTGGAAGTCTGTGCTCTTGTTCAGGGCACAACGGAGGCGCGTTTTCCACGTAGAGGGGTCTGCTTTGTCCCTGCCCTCTTGAAATTTACCCTTGTACATGGCCCATGCCTAAGACATACAGAGTGTTAAATCATGTAAACAGCTGTATTGTTTATGTGTGCAAATTCTGTACTAAACAGGATTTAAATGTGAAAATCAATTTAATTAAAGTTGGATACAAATTAAAAGCTATGTGCTGATATAAATAAAAATAAATGACGTTATAAGTTTGTTCGTTTGGTCAGACATCCTAATTGTAGTAAATATGTTTAACGGTAATAAATGTGTGTGTGTGTGTGTGTGTGTGTGTGTGTGTGTGTGTGTGTGTGTGTGTGTGTGTGTGTGTGTGTGTGTGTGTGTGTGTGTGTGTGTGTGTGTGTGTGTGTGTGTGTGTGTGTGTGTGTGTGTGCGCGCGCGCGTGTGTCCGCGTTTACCTTGAAGAGCGCCGCGTCCTGGTTCTGTCTGTAGTCCTGTTTAGCGGCGTGTTTCCAGGGAATTCTGAACATGGTTTTCTCCTGATTTTCCCAGCTCAGTCCAGGGTATTTTCCGCTGTCTATCTGCGCTATGAGCCATTCTCTCAGTCGCATGTGCCTCGACCTGTCTTCCATCAATCTAAAACACAACACCATTAAATCACCTCTACAGCTTCAGTCACATCTCCAAACAGGAGTTCTGCAGTAACACACCAGAAAACTTCATACACGCTATAAAAAGTGTGCTAAGGTAATAAAGAAAATGAAAATTTTGATGAACTCACAGAGGAATAATTTCATGAATTCAGACATGTGAGTGCGCGATCAAAGTGAAAGTAAAAGTATGAAGTGAACCACTTTCGGTTTCCCAATGAATGTTGCCCTGTGAACAATGACATGTTCACGTAAGACGAGACGAACTGTCACGTGCATTACTGAAACTGCTTTAAGATTCATATACTGTAGATAGAAAGCACACCCACAACATCGACTCGTGACCCCATGTAGAACTCATTATTATCATGTTTATGCTGCTTCGCTCTACTAGCGCGGTAAAGTTAGTTTTAGGTTGGATATTTATTTGAATACAGTCGTCTATGGAGGACGAGAAATAAGTAAAAAAGAAAAAAGAAAATAATAAATACGTAAATACAGAATTAAATAAATAAATGTAGAAATATATGAAGAAATAAATGAAGAATTAAATATAGAAATACATAAATAAATGAATAAATAAATAATTAAATGCTAAAATAAATAAGTAAATAAATGCAGAAATACATAAATAAATGAATACATAAATATATCAATAAATAAATATAGAAATACATAAATAGTTAAATTAATAAATAATTAAATGCTGAAATAAATAAGAAAATAAATGCAAAAATACATAAATAAATGAATAAATACATACATGATTAAATTCTGAAATAATGAATAAATAAATTTGTGTTATACTACATTTTTTTCTACATTTGTTTATGTATTTCTACATTTATTTATGTATTTCTACATTTGTTTATTTCTACATTTATTTATGCATTTCTACATTTATTTATTTATGTGTACGTATGTTAATAATGTAGGCAGTCCTAACCTCTCTCAATGCAGGATTGGTTAAACAGGATCGTTATTGTTACGGCTGTACAACTGTGGATAATAGTTTTGTTAAATATGGTGGGTTTTTTAAGTACCATTGCTAATGATTTGCGTTTTGAAATGATGTAGATCATGCACCATGCGACTAACTTCTGTTTCAGTTGGGACCGTGTAGTCGATGATTTAGTTCAGCTCAGTGCTGATATGGATGTAGACCTTGATCCAGCTTCACATGCCCTCAGAAAAGGAGACAAACATGGGACGTCCACCATAGCTTTTACCCACATAGCAACATTGTGACGTCCCAGATCTGGGCCACAAGCAGGCCATAGCAATGTCACATGTCAGCCAAGAGCAAAGAAATAAACCAGAACTGGACCTTATCTGAGCCACAAAATCTGTGAATATTAAATATGGAGTCATCTCAGCCTTAATAAGCCTGTTAACAAGCAGAATCACTGAAGGAAAGAAGAGAACATAAAAAGAGACGAGCAGAAACACAAGAACTACAACTGACTTCAGCCACAGCCTTAGATGAAATCAACTGAGGATAAAAGAAGACATTAAATCTCTCAAGATCTCAGCAGAGGAGGATTAAACAACTCCACAAACAGCATTACCAGCTTCACTTATTACTAACTTATCACTTATTACTAAGACTGACTTTATTTCTGTCAGACGTCTACAGAAGTTCTTATTGAGAATTAACAGGGGTTTAACTCTTTTTCATTTGAAGTCACCATAACAGCGATTAGTGTTCTCTTACGAGAGGTTCTCTCGTATTGTGTAAGCTAGCTTACGCTACGGGAAAGATTAATCTTTTCTGAGAAATTGAAGCCAAAAAATTATCCTATAATTTTGTATCCATTGTCAACGCAGTTCAGCTGCAGCAGACCATGAGCGGGCTAGCTAGCAGCTCATTGGTTCGCTCACAGAGAACTGCTTAAGCCTATGAGGAGACGCGAATGAACTCTCGGCCAATGAGAGTCTGACATGCTCTCATTACGTCAGAGCCCGCCGAAACGGGCGTGGTCAGAGAGAATAACACTGGCGTCCTAGGCTGTAAACTCTGATTTTCATCTCTTCAGCGAGGCTACACGCATCTGCTGATCCTGAGAGAAGCCGCCGTCGTCGAAAAGGCAACTCTAGCGAGCATCTGGGAGACTGAGGAAGCCGGCCGTCTTCGCCACCTTCAGCCGTCTTGCGAGCTAGCACCATCCGACGGATTTGTATCCTTTTTACAAAAAAGCTTCCTATACTTATTTGTATCTAAAAGAGCCGAGCGTCTTTTTAAAGATGTCTCGTTTTTCCTCCTGCGGTTTTTGCCGCGCTCCCCCCGAGACTGGAGACCGCCACGTCATCTGCGCTCTCTGCCTCGGATTGGAGCACGCCGAGCTCGCCCTCGCCGATGGCGGCTGCGATCTCTGCGAGGACATGCCGTTGTCGACCCTGCTGGCTCGACTTCAAGCCACTAAAGTTGCTTCCGCGCCGCCTCTGACTTCGCCGCGGAAGAAGAAACGCCGCTCTCAGAGGCCGCCGGAACCCCAGCTAGAAGCGTTCATTCCGCCGGAGCCTGTCGCCTCCCGCTCTCCTTCTCCGCCGCTTCCGGACGTACAGTTGCCGCCGAGTGGCCGCTCTGTCGCCTCCGATGACGGCGCGGACATTAAGGAAACCTGTTCGCTTCTCGCTTCAGACAGTGAGGAATGGTCCGGTTCTCACGCCTCCTCGGCCCGAGAATCCTCTGGGACCCGCGCTGGAATCGAGGAGGAATTAGTGCGCCTCCTCCCCCCGAGCAGACCATCAACCGTATGGACGGCAGCTACTTCCGCCAGCGCTCGACTCCCGTCACTAAACGGGCCGCGCCCTTCCTGCCTGAACTGCACGCGGAACTCACGAAGTCCTGGAATGCCCCGCTCTCTGCTAGAACTCGCTCTGACTCTTCCGCCCCGCTTCACGTTGTGGACGGAGCCGCAGAAAAGGGCTATCTTTCCATTCCCCCTGTAGAGGACCTGGTCACCGCACATTTATGCCCGCCTTCCACGAGATGGCGCTCATCACCTGTGCTTCCCTCTAAAGCCTGCAGAGCGACTTCAAGCTTTCACGCCCGCGCTTACTCAGCCGCCGGCCAAGCAGCCTCTGCACTTCTCTCCATGTCCGTCCTTCAGATACTACAGGGTGACATACTTCGTGAATGGGACGAGAGCGGGAAAAAATCCCCCTTCAGTCGCGGATTTGAGGAGCGCCACGGACATTGCCCTTCGCGCTACAAAATCTGCTGCTCAAGCCCTGGGGAAATGCATGGCCGCCATTTGTGTGTCTGAGAGACATTGTGGCTCACACTCGCCGACAGGGGAGATTCTGAGCGCGCCACCTTTCTCAACGCCCCGCTCTCTCCATCCGGCCTCTTCGGATCTGCTGTCACGGGTATCGTCGACCGATTTTTCGAAGTGTAGAAAGCCTCCCAGGCCATGAATCTCTCTCTGCCTCGTCGCGCTAGCTCCTCTGCAGGCCGCTCACGTGACCTGCCTCCTGCACGAGCCCCACCCCAGCGCCCAGCTCAGCGCAGTCAGACTTCTCAGCGACGCCAGGGCGGCCACCCTCGTTCTCGCTCTAACAGCCGCCACAGACCACCGCCTCATCGGGGGCCTCGGCCTAGGATCGGGCTGAAACCCGATCACTCGAAGTCTGCCTAGCACAGCTGAGAAAATGACGGCGCGGCCGGACCGCCGTCAAAGTTTCGCCCTTTGTTAGTCCCCGCTCACGCGGCTACTACAGCAGTGTATTCCGCCATTACCAAGCCGGTCTCCCTTCCCGCTTGCATGAGCACAAACGCTGTTTTCACGGCGACCCAGAAAAATCTCATAAAGAGCATAAAAGCCTCCTGTGTGCCCACAACACTGTGTTCACTCATACACAAAAGCACTTCAGTTCCCGTGTTTCACACAGAGTCCACTCTCATAAAGCGGTTCCAACCCGCTTGAGTTTCAGAGTGCATAAGCGTGCCCACGAGCCCGTGTGCGCGTCCCATCTCTGCTCACTCTGTTACACGGCCCATAAACTTCTCTCCGAGTGTAAGTCCCGCTGTTATAAACACTATGAGCGCGCTCACGCAGCCCGCTATGTGCAGCGACGGGGACCATGTAGCCATTCACTCTCCAAACACAATAAGGTTAGGCTATCGCTTACAGTTCCACCGCCGCCCTCCAAGTTTTCGAGCGCGGTTAGAAACTATTGTGAACCCAGAAGCAGCGATGCTGCTCCGTTCAGAGATAGCAAAGCTATTGTGAAAAAGGGGCTATGGAGAGAGTTCCTCTGTCTATGAGCGAGTCGGGGTTTTACGGCCGTTATTTTCTGGTTCCCAAGAAAGACGGCGGCCTCAGACCAATCTTAGACCTCAGATTTCTGAACAAAGTTCTCATGAAGAGACCGTTCAGAATGCTCACTATCAGAAAACTCCTCGCGCAGGTGCGCCAGGGCGACTGGTGCATTTCACTAGATCTGAAAGATGCTTATTTTCAGATTTAGATAAATCCCCTTCACAGGCCATTCTTACGTTTCGCCTTCGAAGGCCAGGTTTATCAATACACCGTCCTTCCGTTCTGCCTATCCTCTAGCACCCCGTACGTTCACGAAGTGCATGGATGCGGCGCTCGCCCCCCTGCGGAGTCAGGGGCTGCGAATACTGAACTATTTGGACGACTGGCTGATTTTGGCACAATCACAGAGAGAGCTACTGTCTCATCGTACAGTTCTCCTCGACCATCTGAAAGCTTTGGGCCTCTCTGTCAGCTGGACAAAGAGCGCACTACAACCCAGTCAGACTATCTCCTTCTTGGGTATAGAGCTAGACTCGGTCACGATGACGGCTCGTCTGTCAACACAGCGCACGCGCCGTGTTCAGCGTCTCGCCGCATCTTTTCAGATGAACAGACTCACACCTCTGAAAACTTTTCAGAAGGCGTTGGGTTATATGGCCTCAGCCTCCGCGGTGCTCCAGCTGGGGTTACTGCGCATGCGCCCGCTTCAGCTCTGGTTGAAGAGCCGTGTGTCTCACCGTGCGTGGACCACGGGCCGCCAGCTGATAAATGTAACGCAGACCTGTATCACAGCTCTGCAGCCATGGACTGTGGCAGAATGGTTTTAGCGGGGCGTTTCCATGGGGACCCTTTCTCGCCGAAAAGTCATCTCGACAGACGCATCCAACACGGGTTGGGGTGCGGTCTGCGAGGGCTCACCA